TTACTGTGACCATAGTTTTGACATCATCTGCATATGTGTCTTAAAATCTCATAGGCTCAAACAGTACTTAAACAGCTCTTCAAATGAGCCATGTGCAGTAGACAGGCCCTTTCATCTTCAGATCTTTGAGTCAGACCTTTTCAATGTAAGCGAAGGAGTGACTGTGTAGGACCCTCGTGAAGCTCAACAACCACAAGAGGGCGTTGTGACACAACTTAGGGTTTAACTGCTGGTGACAGCGGGGTGTAAAAGATGCAAGCGCTGAGGTCCTATTCTTGCCTTTAAAATAGGTGTCTTGTAGTTCGTGCGGTGGTTATGGGCAGCATAACTAAGTGTCTAGATGTTATGTGCTCTGAAATGAAGTGTGGCAATATTGACATCTGCCACCTTAAACCTACGTTCTATTTCTAGTTTCTAGTAAAAATCAAACTCAGATTCCTTACCATTGACAAGGTTCTCAAGTGGCAGCTTTATGTCCTTTTTGGGTAATGCACTGAGATACTTTATATAACTTGGTATATGTCATTGCTTCTCAAATGATTGCATCAGTGACTTTAAAATTAAGTGGAGTTTGGACTTAGCACATTTATAACGCACACATTGGCTTGATAAGGCGACAAAGCACGAAGAGCTGTGGCGGATGCGCTTAAGAATTCCTCTTAGAGCCGTTCAGGGAGCGTGGTTACCTAAAATGGTAGGATGCAAGGCTTGATTCCTTTGAAGTGATCAAAATTAGTCTCTCCGCCCTCGTAGTTAGTGCTGGTGGTGGTAGTGACTTCCTTCCATTGTGCAGGTGGTCCTGCAGCATGAGGTTCTGTTGATGGTCTTTTGCAGCTTGAACGGGAGTACCACATGTTTGGGTTTCTTATTTTCCTGCCCATAAACTTCCAGATTTCAGGACTTCAGCCAGGTGACCAGGCCCTGCTACAGTTCCTGTCAGGCCTCTAGACAACTGGCTATTGTGCATGCAAGAAGTATGAGCATTTGAGAGCCATCAGATTTACTGCACATGTGCAAGCCATATGTACATCACTAGTGCAGTGAGTCCCATGTTTCACAGACGTGTCACGCTTGCTGCACAGTGTATGCACATGCATATTTGGCCAGGAAGACCCTAAAAAGAAATATGGTGACTTTATGCATAATACGCCATGTAACATGTCTTGAAATTGACTCTAAAAGACTGCTGGTGCTTCCGCAGCCTGTGAAGAAGGCTTTGGAAGTTCAAAATTGTCTAGACAAATCATTCTCTATCTTTTTCTTCTCTTTTTGTCCACACTACCTTTGTGCTGCTCCCAGAGCTCATCTCCCTCTGGACAGTAAGTGATACGAACGGCGTGATTGCAAGGGGGAGGCAGTGGTGGAGTCAGTGAGGCTATAGATGGCAGCTGCAAGATGGAAGGCAGCTACAGAACTGCCTAGGTGACAGCAGTGCTTGAATGTAAATATACTCTATACATCTGTTCAATAAATGTGATCTTCCGTATTAGAACAAAATACCAAAACTACTTTTGTCTTACTTGAGAACAAATAGATTGAATGATAGTTATGTATTAAATAGTCTATTTGCATATTGATGTAAAGGTGCTCTAAATACAGTGAACTTTTCTAACAGAAAGGAATACGTGTGTGTGTGTATTTATACATATATATGTATATAAATTATCTCTTGCAGAAGCTGCAGGCAAAGTTTAAATATCCACACTGGGTAGACATCATGCCTTTGATAGTAATCTTGTTTGTGAGGTGTTTTTCACATCTGCACATTTTGGTAGCTCCTAATACTTTATCCATGCTTCCGGAGACAGTATGGATAAAAACTGTCCAGGCTTAGATAGCTTTGTAAAAATCACTTAAACACGTTTAACTTAATATAAATACCAAACACTGCCCAATAAGAAACATTTTATAGATTCAGGGTATTTGTATAGTTTTGTGCAGCCCTGTGTAACACGTATTGCACTGACCTCTGCTAACTACGTACTCTGAGTACTGACTAGTTTGCTTTGCTGGCTTCTAGCAATTGCCGGGAGCCATGGTAGATGTGTGAAGGGAAAACAGTAGAGTTAACACTCTGCTTCACTGTGGCACATCTTGAGAATATGTGAGTGTCTCCTTTAAGAGCTATTTTAAGTGGAATGTAGGAAAACATGCCTCTTGGTTTTTATATAAAGTGTATTTTGAGGATAAACTTGACTTCTGGTTCAGCTGTCTTTCTGCCAGTTCATCTGGCTCACTTGGCTTTTTCAGGGAGATTTTGTTGTGAGGGATAACAGTGAAGAGTGGAATATGCTGCCTATCGTGGCCGATAGCGTGAAAAGGTTTTAGGGAGGTTTCGGCAACTTTTCTTAAAACAGAATTTGAAGTCCATCAGAGCTGAACATTAGTAACTTGAAAAATAAAAATAGGATCAGGCAGTCAGGACCTGTAGTCATATATACTTAGTACCCAGTAAATCGTGCAGCTCAGTCCTGAGGTGAGGGATGCATGCATCTTTCTAGCTGGAAAGAAGCTCGCTGGTAAACTGGAAAGAAAAATGCTACTTTCTGTTGCCTAGCTGCCAATGAAAGTTAGGCTCCAACAAAAGCATTTTCACCCCTTGATGAACTGCGGATGTATACCTTCAGAGTGTGCGGAGGCGACTTCCAGAGCTTTCAGAGCACTTTGTCTTCCCAAGCAGCGTAATTTCTGCCTCGTCTGGCCTGAACCAGCTGTTCCGTGTTCAAGAGCTGATCTCTTGTAGACTAACACTCGACTGAGGGTGCTTGCCTCAAAATAGATAGCGATGAGTGTCAGTGACATGCCTGGGGCTACGCTTTGCCCTCTCCAGAGAGTGGAGGAGAGCAGTACAGTTTGAGTTCCTACACTGCTTGTTGCTGCTTTGGTACTCTTAACACGGGAGAAGGGGTTTTGGGGGCTTTGCCCCTCACTCAGTCCATTAATGCTGGGGGTTAACGTGATCTTCCTCTGCTCCGGGAGTGGAGGGTTTCGTGTGGGCAGTCCGGATACAAATACACACACGTCGTTCTTGCCTAACCTTTGGCTCCAGTAGATTTGGGAGAGATGGGAGAAAGCTTCTCAAGTACTACTTTGTGGTGGGGAGCAACCTCAGCTGGCTTTAGAAAATGGTATTTTGTAATCTGTTCTCTACTGAAGCAGCATAAAGCAGCCACTTGAAGGTGTGACAGCTGAGTCCCGCCGCACATTTGCAAAACCCATGTCATTAGTCACTAAGCTTTCTTGCATTGGATACTGCTATATAAGGACTACTTAACTGAGCTTTGAGTCTAGTCATGTAAGTAGTTCAATCTTAAGGCTTGATCAAAATGGATTCAATATGAAAATAAGAATTCTAATGTAAAAAATTAACCATAAAACGAGAAAACCACTTCTTTGTTTGATTTGCTCTTTCAGGAAAAGACCGAAGAGGAGGTAAAGATTAACTTGTCTTGAATGTGCTCTTTGGCAAATTTCACAGGGAAATGCTCCGTAGTGTAAAAGTCTTTTCGCTTTTAAGGGAGCGTACCAGACAAGTAGCTGCTTTTCTGGCCATAAGGGTGGACGTCTCAATGGGGGGGGAGGGTAGGGAAGTGACTGTCAAGGTAGCCAGGCAGGCCTCAGATAACTGCAAACATCAGTAGCAGCAAACACTGCCAGAAATGAACAAGCATTTAAAACGTGCTACTGAACGCTGGTATGCTATTGTGCCTATCTTGTGGTGAACATCTTAGAGTATTTTTTCCTTCAAAATCTTTCATGTACAATATCTAGTTTTTATGTTCACAGAAAAAAGCTGAACATGCATTTTGAGCACAATCTCAGAACTTGAATCTCAGTGTAACTTAGAGTTGTCAGATCTTTGTTGATGTTAAGTGTAGAGGTTTTGTCCTCAGAGCTGGTAGTGCTGGGCAAGCTCCTTGCTTTTCCCTACGGGCAGGTACGGAGCCTGGAATCCACAGACAGGGACCACGAGTTCGTGACGTAGATGCAGAGCAGATTGTCTCCAGCCCCAGATATGTTGTGCATATATGTGCCCGTGGAGCTGTTTTAAAGCGTGTGCAACTGGGCACTTTGAAACAGGTAGGTTTTTCATGACACGTAGATGCAGCAGCTGTATTTTGGATCAGAAAGTCGCTGTATTTGCATGGCTTACTACAGGGGGAACCCTTTCTCTTAGATTGGTCTTAAAGCTTAGCTTTTAAGAAAATGCCTACTTGTGTCCCTCTCAAGGTTCCTGACTGTAGAAATGATCTCTAAGTGGGTATTCGGGTTTTCTTTCCCCGAGTTTTCGGTGCCCTGCATTATATTTTCGCGCTTTTTCCACGCCGGGTAAAAGGTTCTGAGCCTCAAACGCCGCCAGGCGGGAAGGGAGCCGTCCCCCCCGCTCGGCGGGCAGTGCGCTGCGGCTCCGGCCAAGCGGGGGACC